GGATCCATCTTAGTAAAAGTGGGGGTGTCCACAGGGGTCCCTCCAGTTTGGGCCTTTCCTGGGTGCTTGTTTACTTTTGTTGTTGTTTTATTTATTTTATTCATGATAGCGTGTGCACGTGCACATACAAGAAAGCAAATGAGAAAGAAAAGCATCCCTAAAAATTAAAAGAAAAAAAAGCATCCTTGACAGGGTCGTATGTTTTGCACCCCTTTCCCCAGCCCTCTAGCCCCTCAGGCTCTGGACACCTGAGCACCAAGAGGCTCTGGACACCTTAGCAGCAAGTGTGTTTTCGTACCAACCCAGGACCCAAACCGCAGCTAGCCGCATGGCTTCCAGCACTGCCTTCAGACTGCAGCTGGGTGTGGATTTGGTCCAATTTCCCTCCCTCCGGGGTAGGAGGGGGTGGGACCATCTCCCAAAAGGTCCCCTGCAGGTTCTAGGTGGGTGTAGCCAGGGGCCCAAAGGTTTCTTTGTGTGCACCAAAGTCAGGATAAAACGCCCTGCCCCCTCTTTTCAGAGGCAGTAAGTGAAAGAAATATGTCTTTTTACATTTTCTAAAACTCAGAAAAATGGCTTTAAACAGCTTTTGCTCTCCTGCTATAATTATTTATTTTCAAACACTCCTGCGGGGGACTGCTCCGTTTTCTTATCCTGCACTCCTTTTTCTCATAAATGAACCATCACTTCAATAAATCATTATGAAAACAGAGACTAACACCGGCTCTGAAAGGTTGAAAGATTTATGTAACACATTTATGTTTCCCATTTTCTCATTCTGGTACTCGGCTGCAAAAGCTAAGCTAATAAAAGCTGCTATTAATATTTCTTGTTGCCTAGCAACCCCAGAGCGGGAGTAATAGCTTCGGCTAGAAAAATAGATGACCGATAAGGAAAAATTCAATTCTTTTATTATCTCAGGGGGAAATGGCCTTTTACCGGAACATTATGATGTACGAGTGTGAAGTTGAACACAAAAGATTGTGTGTGTGTGTGTGTTTGTTTTTCTATTTTTAATGAACATTATTTTACCTCCACTAACTCTTTTAGGGCACTTTTGTTTTCTTTCACACGCCTGTGTCCCGCCCCATCCCTCATGCTTAATTTAGCAGCTATGGTCGTTAAGAATCTGTCAGCGTTTTTAAGTTTCAAAATGGGTTTTGCAAAGGTTTACAACTTGGTCATAAAAATTCAGTCCCTGTTAAAACTGAGGCCAGTGATAAGCCAGCATGCAGGCCAGTTTTCTGTGAACAGGATCACGTTTGTTGAAGAGATAAGATTCATGGTTTTCCCCATAAGAAAGGTCGGAAAGGAGCAAAACACGTTCTTTTCCATATCCTGGTTTTCTTTGGAACTCAGCGATGCTGTCTCTTTTGAGCTCAAAAGTTGGGATGTGTTCCAAGTGGGGGAAGATGGGGCATAGACATTTATTGGGCACCTGCGGTGCACAGGCCTGGTGCCTCCCATCAGCCCTCTGAAGCGGGTACTATTACTGTGCCCATTTTTCAGGTGCAGACACTGAGGCCTAGAGCAGTCTGGAGCTCAGACTGAGGAGGGCCCCCCGCCATGGTGTCCCCACCTTTGTCCTTTGGCACAGGGCTTCTCAACCTCAGCACAGCTGACATTTCGGGCGAGGTAATCACCCGTTATAGGGAGTCCCGGGCATTGTCGCTGTCTAGTACCACCCTTGGTTTCCACCCTATTCCTGGCCTCTGGCAACACTCCCCCATCAAAATCAAAATGTAAAACATGTCTCTAGGCGTTGGTAAATGTCCCCGGGTAGATAAAGTACCCCCTGCATGTTGTTTCCTCTGCCTGGAAGACTTTCCGCTTGCCCATCTGGTATTCTCCTGTTCCTGTTAAGGACCAGGAATCTTCTTCCTGAGGCTGTTGGGAGCCTCTGGACTGGGACTAGGGTGAGACAGGTAAGACATTTGTCCCAATTATAAAACTTAAGGGAATGCCTAAACTCTTATGAAGCAAGGTACGTAATATTTTTGTGCAATATTTTTAAAAATCACAATTAACACCAAAAAAAAAAAAAAGAGGGAGAGAGAGAGAGAGATGAATGACACAAGAATTTGAACAAAGGTGGGATCAGTCTGACTTCATGGCAGTCTGTGTCGTTCGTTACATGCTCACCTGGGCTGCCCCTGGGTCCGACAACCTGATGACGGGGCCTGCTCCATACCCTTCTCTACGCCAGCATCTCAAGAAGGGCCTGGAGACAGCCTTCCGTGTTTTTACTGAGCGTGTGGGAGGAGGGAATGGCCTGTTCTAGATCCCAGAGCTAAAAAAGGGTCAAGCGAGGACTTGAACCGGAGCCTGTGAGTTCAGGTCCAGTGCTCTCTGTACTCTTCGGCTGGGGGGGGTGCCCGTCATTGCCCACAGAGTGGTGCCCATGCCGCAGAAGAGTGGAAGATGCCCTGGGCACTCACAACAGGGGAGGGCAGCCATGATTTCAGCATGGGGTCATTGGCTTCCCCATGGCAGCCTCATCTGGCCTCATAACCTCCATGCTTGACAAGAGCTGGCACAGGCGGCTTGCTGACCCAGAGCATCCCCCGAGCAGAACGGTGACAGCCGCCCCTTGGCGCTGCTCATGCATCCCGTAGTCAGATACCTTAGCCTGGCATTGGGGGACCCCATTGCTGACCCTGTATCCCCTTGGCCAATTACTCCTAAATAAAAGGGTGAATAACATTGCTTTATACCTACTGATGTGGCTGACTCCACCGAAGCCCTTTGTGTTTATCTCACTGAATCCTCAACCCCAAGAAGGATGTACTATTATTGTCGCCATTTTGCTAGATGAGAAAACAGAGGCACGGAGAAGTAACTAACCTGGCTACAACCACTGAAATAGTAGTGTCAAGGTTTGGCCTCTACCTGCTGTCCCCGGCAGGCCAATTCCCCAGCCTGTGCTCCCAAAATCTAACCTATATGGCCTTCCACTGAATGAATGAGGGGTAGTGAGCCAGGATTGAGACCCACTTTCTGTGCCTCGATGTGAGTTGAGCCATTCACATCCATAATAACTGCAGAATGAAGTGGGAGGTGCTCAGAGCTTGGAATGAGGAACAGAAGTCTGGAGGAGCGTGTTGGCAGGGAAGGCTTCCTGGAGGCAGTGGGCCTGAGGCTAGACCATGGGGGCCAGAGGTCTGGCTGCAAAATACTAAGAGGAAACTTCACACTTGCATCAACCTCTCTGGTCAGATCCAATCACCAGTCCCTCTGCTGGAGTTCATAAAACAGTGTGTGATGTTTTACGATCGCGTAGGCGCTCTCTGGTACCCACCTCTCCACCCCTGCCAGGCTCCTAATCGGAGCCGTGACCCCTGGCTGTGAAGAGTGCAAGGGGCAGGTGTTTAACTCCCATCGCAGGCAGGGTGCCAAGCGTGACGGCCTGCATGCTCCGAGACCTGCTCCGGAGTCAGGAGGGAGAATTCAGAGAACATCCCGGCAGCATTTGTCAGCTGCGGCTTCGATATTACTCGGCATAATGGCTCTTTCCTCCGCACGCATATTCAGTGCCATGTTTGGGAAAATGAGCTTTTAATGTAGCGCCGGCATTGCTGAGAAGCCATCGCTGGCTCCACGGAATGTCTGGAACACATAAAACGGGAGATTTATTGGAGTCATTTTCCCCTGCTCTAGCTGGATAATAAAAAGTCAGTCTCGTGCGCTCTTTCTCGCATCTTGTGGCTTTGTCCATTTAGAACTCAGAGTCTTTATAAAAGGCAGCAAGACAAATAAAACTCATCTAAATATTAAAGCTCCAGGAGAGAGCGTTGATGTGCCATGGAAGTTGGGGCTGGGAGCTTTTCCAGCTTTGGCGCAGGCGGGAGGGTGACAGCCTGAAGCTCAGCCAGGAGCCCTTACCCATGAGTCTGGAGCCCTGGAGTCTCTCCCTGAGCCTCGAATACGATGGAGCGGAAGGTGTCTAGTAACGGAGCGAATGTGTGGGCCAAACGTGCCGATGGTATCCCTGATACTTGGCTTTGTGTGTGGATGGAGCAGGCATCTGAAAAGGGTTTGCTGACTGACTGAATGACCGAATGAAAAATAAATACTGTGTAAACACCTCACGAACTTTACAGAGCTGTCTACACCGTCGTTGGAGAGGAAGCCTGGTGGTGGTCTGTAGCCCGTTGTTTCAGCCTGCCGCTCATGGCGTCCCCTCTACCACCCCTGTGGATTTGGAGGAAGAGAGAATGATCCTCATTTCATAGGCATGCACCCACGACTCAAAAGGGCAAGTGGCTTGTCCAAAGACACATAGCTAGGAAGTGGTGGAGAAAAGATGGAGCCTTGTTCCCCTGACCCAAATATCTTGTGCTCTCAACCCAGAAGCCTCCCTTACTCCAGCCCTCAGCCTTGGGCTGGCCCTGTCCAGTGTGGGTCTGGTCAACGCACTCAGCTGGGACAGAGTTGGTGGGCGGGGAGGGGAGTGTTGGCACTTCCTCCAAACTCCTGGCAGCAAGAGAAAAGGAAGGGAATGTTGAGGTGAGCGTCCCTAGGACCTGTCGTTGGGTTGTGTGTGGATGGAGCTGTGGGCCTGGGATGCTGCAAATGGGGAAGCCTCTCTCCCAATAAGGCATTGGCTTTGTTTTGTTTTCTTCTGTTTTTAGATTTTTGTCATAAGGTGCATCCGCTTACAGGGCAAGACAGTGAGAAGGAAAGTGAGAAATCACTTCCTGGGGGGGATGGTCATGCCAAAACCTGGCCAGGCCAGAGTCCTCCATTCTCGTCTTGGGATTTGGGGCATGCATGTACACACACCCAGCATGATTTTCAAGCTGCCAGGTCTAGGACTCAAATTGCATTGGCCATGTGGGAATCCAGTGCCTTAACCACTAGGCTACCCACTGGCCGCTCAATAAGGCATTGTTAGTTCTTCTTGTCACCCTAGAGACGGAGTGCAAGACGATGAGTCAGAAAGTTCTGTCTCTACCTCACTGAAAGGGGTTGTGAGGTCAGTCACTTTCCTCCGGCCTCACTTTCTTCAAATGTTGAATGGACAAAACTCTAATGACTTCTGGGAGCTGTGGGAAGGATCAAAGGAGAGAGCCCCTCTAACGTGTTTTGTGAGGTTGTCATGGATCAGAGCCAGGGGCCAGGAGAGCCCAGTGAGTCAGACAGTGGCAGCTGCACGCGCAGCCAGCTATGTGACTCAGCTGAGCCGCCTAACCTCTCTGTGCCACGGTTTCCCAGTGAGGTTGTGAGAATTGAATGAGGCAGTCTGGGTGGTACCTAGATCCATGCTGGAGGGAGGGCTGCCTGGCCGCGCAGGGAGCTCTGGGGCACCAACTGGACTACAGAGCTGCCCCTGAGTCAGGCACGGGCTGGGAGAGGGTGCAGCTCATGCTAACGTTTCGGGCAGCGGCTCCCTTTGGCCATGTGCAGTTCCAGGGAAGAGGGCAGCCAGCACTGCAGCCGTGGATCTCGGCTCGAGTTGCAACTACTGAGCTGGCTCCTGAAATGCCCTGCGGAGGCCTGCAGGATCCACACAGCCTGGGGAACTGCCGGAGGTGCAGGTTCGCAGGCCCCACCTAGACCAGGCAGTCGGAGACTGTGGGCTGGGGCCCAGCAGCCAGCCTTCCACCAGCCCCCAGGGTTTCTGACTGCGACACTGCACTGCCGTCATCCTCTGCGGAGCCTTGAGGTCCCCATTGTGTGTAGGACGCAGGGAACGTGTTCTTCTCTTGGCCTGGAGGATTTCATTGTACTTGTGATGGGTGCAGACTTCTTCCCGAAGACCGGAGGAGCCACACCTCTGCTGTGGTTCCTGACTCTTTCCATCCCCTCGCTCCTCCAAGGGGCTTGGGCCCTGATGCAGATGCTATGGCGTGAGGACAACCCTGAGCCTGTGATCAGAAAGAAGCCAGGTCTCCTGAAACTGCAGAAGGCCTCATCCTGGCGAGGCTTCCTGGGCAACAGTGCACCAGAGGCTGAGCAGAAGCAGAAAGCAGGGGCCCCAGGGGGGAGCATTGACCCAGGACAGGGAGGACCAGGACCTGTGTTGGACAGCAAGAACCCACCCACGAATGAAGCCCATGTGTGGAGATCCTGGGAGCATGGCATGTGAGTGGTGGGACAAAGACCCAGGCTAGACCTCTGCAGCACTGCAGCAGCTGGGCCTTGGTCAGAAGCACGGGGTAGGGTTGCCCCGCGGCCTGGTGGTGAAGGGAGCCAGATCTCACGTAGCCCGCCGTGGTTCAAGCCTGGTCAGGGCAGCTTGAAAAACACTCCAGGTGCATGTGCTTGTGTGCCCCTAGTCTTGACAAGATGGAAAAATGGAGGAGAAGGGAGTGCAGCGTGATCACGCCCCACTGGGGGATGATTTCTTCCTCTCTCTCTCTCCTCTCTGTCTCTCTATGATGAGCACACATGCCCTCTGGCAAATTAAATAAATGCAGGGCGACAGCAAATTGTGAGGGCCCCAGATGAGATCCTGGCCCCAAAGGGCCACTACGCCATTCCATAGGCCGCCTCCTTGGGAAGCCAGGCCTCGGCCCTGTGCCCTGGCACGCAGCCCCTCCTTTTTCCCTGCCTTGGGCCACTTTCTTGCTGCTTTTGTATCCAGGCTCAGAGAAGCCACTAAACCCCACCAGCAGATCGGCCATGCCCTTCGGCATGCTTCCACCAGGGTGGCCTTGACTACACCCAACTGGGACCGTGTCTTCCTGTACCTTCCTGCAGAATGATTCCCCAGAGCGGCAGAGACCAGGCTCACTTTGCCCCCAGCACGTGACAGAAAGTCTACACTCAAGCAGATGTCCACAGCACGGGTGAGCAATGGCCGGCCAATGACACTGGAGACAAAGCTGATCTCTAGGAACAGGGGCTTGGCCTCCGCTGCAGCCCCTTAACCCTGGACATCCATGCCACGTCTCTGTGCCCTGAGCCCCACGGTGAGGAGGTCCCACATTGCTGGAATTCCCATCACTGGCTTTGGACCTAAAGAGACCTGGATTTAAATGAGTTTCTCCAGCTGCATACTCAAGTATTGAACAAATTACCCACCCCCTCTGCACTTCAGTCTCCTTATGTTAGACAGATACGTTAATAATCCCAATCATATGGGGTGGTTTGGAAAATTAAATGCTGTAATGCTTATGAAGTGCTCAGCATGGTGGCTGTGCAATGCTGTTATTTGTCTCTAAGCAGTTCATGCGGGAGCTGTCTGGTTTTCTCCCCTCACACACGGAGAGCTCTATATTCTTCCTGGCACTGCCAAGAAACCTACTGGCTCACATATTGGTGAACTGAGTTGTTCCCCTCTGGTCTTATAGGGTACCCACCACAGACAGTTCATGCAGCCCTGTGTTCCCAAGTCCCTTTGTGGCCACACTGTCCCTGTGCTGTTGCTCCATGGCCCCTGCCCCGTGGGATGCTCAGCGTGTGGGCTCCTCTGAGTTCAGTCTCACACTGCGACTTCTCAGCCTGGCATCTCCCGTGAGACTTGCAGATGCTGACTTGGCTCTGTGCTTACTGCACAAAGGCTCACCTGTGAACAGGATTTTAGTTTGAACTGAGCATCCCCGGGGTCCACACTCCACCTCATACAGGTCTGCAGTGTATTGCTCTCAAACAAGTTGTACACGTTCAAGTCTGCCAAGGAACAGCACAGACATTATTAGACATGTATGGCGGATGGGGGGGGAGAGGGGAAGAGAGAGAGAGAGAGAGAGCGGGGGAGGTGGAGGAAATGTCAGACCACAGTGCACGTCTGGCCCCTGAGGAAAGAAGGAAGAGAAGGAGGGAGGATGGAAAGAAGGAGAAATGAATAGGAAGAGACCTGGACTATAGCGTGGTTTAAGAAGGCTGAGCCAGGCCAGTCAGGAGTCCCCAAACCTAAGTTGCTCATTGGAGAAGCCACACATCTCACCATAAGAGATCTGTCTGCCTCGTCCCCCAGACTCTCGGGCACTGGCTGGGCATGGCCTGCAGCAGCGTGGCCTTGGTGAGCATGTGTTCACAGGGCCGGGTGAGCCACGGGCACACTCTCAGAGTTGTTATCCCCAGTGCAGGAGATCTGAGCAGAGCATTTGTGAGGCCCCCACTGTCCATTCCTGAGCCATGCAGCTCTGCTTCTGCATGCAGGCAGGGCCCTGTTTCTGAGAGAAAATTTAGTAGAAGAGATGACAGCCCTCATTTCTGCCTTCGGTCTTGGGGTCACACTGGCACTCATCCTCTCCCCACTTCCTCACCGTATCACCTGTCGCTCAGTTGTCGCCTCTGGCAGCCTACCTGTCCTACCTGCTCCTGGGAGGTCTGAGTCTTTGGCTGTCATGTGTGGCTAAGGTTAGGCTTGTGCACAAACCCATGACAATTGCAATGGGGACAGGAATACTCAGAGGCACCCAGTGGATCACCCAGGGCACACGTGAGTCCCCCTGCCTCCACTGAACAGCCCTACCTCTTCCTGTTGATGGGACCAATTCCCCTGCCATGATGAAGACTCCTCACCTGCTGGCCCCTAGACACAGGGAGTCCGAAGGACCCTGGCAACGGCCATACTTTATGGTTCAATAGGACCCTCGTAGCCTGTGGCAAGAGTGTCCTCCTCTTAGGGATAAGGTCCTCTGACCCAGAAGAGCTGACAGGTCATAAAGCATAAGCTCCCTACTGGGTTCTTGGGGGTGATGGTGACTAGGGCCACCCTGTTTCCACTCTGGTTTTGGATCCACGTGTTCTTCAGAGCACCGTACTGTGGACTCCGATTTAATGCATGTATCTCTTCCTGAGGGACAGCACCCCATTTTCAGTGTTGTCTCCAAGCTGAGGCTTCGTCTACACTTCTAGAAGGCCATTCCAACATTCTCTGAGGCTGGTGGCTCCTGGATGGTGTGATATGTGGTATGACCAGACCTGTCACCTCCAGAGGGAGTTGCTGGCTTAGGGGCTGAAGACAACAGAGGCAACCTCATACACAGGGGGAGCATCTCTCCTGCGTGGCCTCTCCATGGCAGGAGTCCTGTGGAGTCAACTTGCCATTGAGTGGCTGGTTGGTCTCCTAAGGAATGCTGCATGGTGGGCTCAGGATTAATCTCGGTTGCTGACAGCTGGACATTCAGAGGCAACAACAGCTAGATGGGCCTTGTTCGGTGATGATTCATGTCACTGAGCCCATACATGGTCTCCATCTTTGCCACGTTGGCCTGAGATATTTTGTCTACTTGCTTGTTCAGTGCGTCTTCTATGGTTAATCCTTTCTTTCTTTCTTTCTTTCTTTCTTTCTTTCTTTCTTTCTTTCTTTCTTTCTTTCTTTCTTTCTTTCTTCCTTCCTTCCTTCCTTCCTTCCTTCCTTCCTTCCTTCCTTCCTTCCTTCCTTCCTTCTTTTTAAATTTTATTTCTTTTATGAGGGAAAAAGACAGAGAGGGATCACCCCCAACAGGGCCTTGACACCAGAATCTATCCCAGCCCCAGCCAGCCCTGGATTGGCGGCTTGCACTTGGCTGACACAGTCAGGGAGGTCTCCAGATATGAATCCAGAATACTTCTGTGTGGGCCAGCCTTGGAGAACATTTTGTTTTTTCCTGCTATGCCACTATCTGGCCCCTGTCACGAATGCTTTCTAATTGGCAAAATGCATGATGCAAAACTCAGACTCCATGCCTGGTCCTGTATCTCTGTCCGTGTGCCTCAACCTCAGGTAAGTTTGTCTCCAGGTCCACAGTTCTTTTCCTGCCAGGCCAGAGAACCAGGCACTGGCCAATGCCTATGAATTGATTAGACGCAGTGCTCAAAGCTCATGCCAGGAAGGTTTCCCCCCTCACCCCCTGTCCTAGAGCCATTGGCCACTCCTGGCGTGTGCCCACGTGTGGGCCTGACTCATCTGTAAGTCATACTCGGGCCTCTCTTCTCCTTTCAGCCCATTTTGCAGGGTCTCCCCCTTCCTGTTACAGCCATAGGTGTGAGCTGAGGGAGGGTGCTGGTGCAGTTGTGGTATATGACCTGAGGGTCTGGGCCATCTTCCCATCCAGTATATTCAGGCCCCTGGGTCTGCTTACGCTCGACCCCAGATACGCCATTTCCTTCTTATGATGAACCCTGCTGGGCCTGTCTGATACTATGGCTTGGCTCACCCAGCAGAACCTGGCTCCTACTAGGTAGTTTGAGGCAGTTCCAGACACATGGCCGCTTGGTGCTCCATGGCCAAGCATCCCATCTCGACCACAGCCCAGTAACACTCGGCAGCTGTTTCTCTGCAGGAGTCTAATTACATGTTGTATGCATAATGGCTCTGAGTGGAAGCCCAAGCCAGCATTGTGACTGTTAAAAGCTGCAAGTGGCATTTTCCCATCAGTGCCATGTCCCGCGCCACCGGCTTGTTCGGTGATGATTCATGTCACTGAGCCCATACATGGTCTCCATCTTTGCCACGTTGGCCTGAGATATTTTGTCTACTTGCTTGTTCAGTGCGTCTTCTATGGTTAATCCTTTCTTTCTTTCTTTCTTTCTTTCTTTCTTTCTTTCTTTCTTTCTTTCTTTCTTTCTTTCTTTCTTTCTTCCTTCCTTCCTTCCTTCCTTCCTTCCTTCCTTCCTTCCTTCCTTCCTTCCTTCCTTCTTTTTAAATTTTATTTCTTTTATGAGGGAAAAAGACAGAGAGGGATCACCCCCAACAGGGCCTTGACACCAGAATCTATCCCAGCCCCAGCCAGCCCTGGATTGGCGGCTTGCACTTGGCTGACACAGTCAGGGAGGTCTCCAGATATGAATCCAGAATACTTCTGTGTGGGCCAGCCTTGGAGAACATTTTGTTTTTTCCTGCTATGCCACTATCTGGCCCCTGTCACGAATGCTTTCTAATTGGCAAAATGCATGATGCAAAACTCAGACTCCATGCCTGGTCCTGTATCTCTGTCCGTGTGCCTCAACCTCAGGTAAGTTTGTCTCCAGGTCCACAGTTCTTTTCCTGCCAGGCCAGAGAACCAGGCACTGGCCAATGCCTATGAATTGATTAGACGCAGTGCTCAAAGCTCATGCCAGGAAGGTTTCCCCCCTCACCCCCTGTCCTAGAGCCATTGGCCACTCCTGGCGTGTGCCCACGTGTGGGCCTGACTCATCTGTAAGTCATACTCGGGCCTCTCTTCTCCTTTCAGCCCATTTTGCAGGGTCTCCCCCTTCCTGTTACAGCCATAGGTGTGAGCTGAGGGAGGGTGCTGGTGCAGTTGTGGTATATGACCTGAGGGTCTGGGCCATCTTCCCATCCAGTATATTCAGGCCCCTGGGTCTGCTTACGCTCGACCCCAGATACGCCATTTCCTTCTTATGATGAACCCTGCTGGGCCTGTCTGATACTATGGCTTGGCTCACCCAGCAGAACCTGGCTCCTACTAGGTAGTTTGAGGCAGTTCCAGACACATGGCCGCTTGGTGCTCCATGGCCAAGCATCCCATCTCGACCACAGCCCAGTAACACTCGGCAGCTGTTTCTCTGCAGGAGTCTAATTACATGTTGTATGCATAATGGCTCTGAGTGGAAGCCCAAGCCAGCATTGTGACTGTTAAAAGCTGCAAGTGGCATTTTCCCATCAGTGCCATGTCCCGCGCCACAGGCCCTGCCGTAACAGGTGGCTGGCTGGTAGATAATCTGTTTGCACTGAAGCCTGGACTTCCATAGTACCCTTTCCTGTCCTGGGCCCACTCAAAATGAGCAGCTTTCTGTGTTTCCTGGAAGCGTAGTTCTAGGTGTGGAATGTGTGGCCCCCAGAGCCCTAAGAGGCCTACAGGGCCCTGTGCTTCCTTTACTGTGGAAAGGGAAACAAGATGCAAAGTCTGCATCTTCCTTTTGCTGTCCCCTAGGAACTTCGCAGACGTGGTAGGACTTCACGAGATCTTCATATGATCTGATGTTTATTTTTATCTGGTTTTCTCAAATCTGCACTTGGTAAAAGTTTACCTTAATTAGGGTTTGGGAGGTTTCTAGAAATGCTCTCACACCCACAAAGAAGCTGCTTGTATATGTTTGTCATTCCTTTCCTTTCCTTCATGGCGCTGGGTCAAACGTTCATTTGCCAGTGGTGGTATCAGTAAGCAGTAACCTTTCCCGTCTCCCCCAAATTTG